GGAAACCGAAAAATCGAAAGGAAAAATAAAAAATTGAACAATCAAGAACTTGGAAAATTTTAAAAACGAGAAGTCGAAAAATCAAAAAACCGAAAAATTTTCAAATTTAAAAATCGATCGAAAAGTGGAGAATCCACAAATCAAAAAATTGAAAAATTAAAAAATCGACGAATAGAATAATCGAAAAATTGGGACCTCGAAAAATCGAATAACCGGGAAATTGAAAAACGGGGAAATCGAGAAATTGAGTAACTAAGAAATTGAAAAGTGGGGTAATCAAAAAGTCGAAAAATCGAGAATTCGAAAAATTAAAAAATTTAAATATCGACAAGTGAAAAAATCGAAGAGCAAAAATTAGAAAATTCAAAAATGGAGAAATCGAAAAATAGAAAACCCCAAACATCGAGAAATCGAAGGGAGAAATGAAAAAATTGAAAAACCGAAAAACTGAAAAACAGAAATGAAAAATCGAAAAATTGAAAAACCAAGAACTTGAAAAATTGAAAAAACGAGAAATCGAAAAATCAAAAACCGAAAGATTTTAAAATCCAAAATTGACAACGGGGCGGGTGGGTGTTACTAAATCTTGTACTTTCTGATTTTTCTCGAATCTGAAGAAATGAAAAATCTAAAAATTTGAACGTCCAAAAGTTGGAAAATTGGAAAACTGAAAAATTTAAAAATGAAAACTAAGAGATATCGTAAAAATTGAAAAAACAAACAATTATAAAATCGGAACATTGAAAAATTATAAAAATAAAGAAAATAAAAAATTGAAAATGGAAAAATTTAAAATTAAAACCTTGAGAAACGCAAATCGAAAAAAAATTTTTTTTACAAAGATGTCGGCTTTATTTGACTGCACTTAAAGGCGAGGGAAGTTCTGTTGAAATAACCTTCGACACATTTGTTACTTTTTTGTTGTCTCGATTTGTCTTTCGATTTTTTGCCTTCTCATTTTTAGATTTTTCGGAATTAATTTTTCAACTTTTGGATTAATCGGGGTTTTTTAGGTACCTATAAATCTTTCAATTTTGAATTTTCGCATTTTTCAAACTTCAGCTATTTCGATATGTATCTTGATTTTTCGACTTCTCCACTTATCGATCTTTTGATGTAGTTTTTCAATTTTGGGATTTTTTGAATTTCGAGTTCAAAATTTTTCGATTTTTCGACTTTGTTTTTTTGATTTTTTACTTATTCGATTTTTCCGCATTTTAAAATGAGTTGAATTTTACACAAACATATACTCCTATACTTGTAGTATATGAATCCGCTCTCAGTTTTTCGCTGAACGTTCAAATTTTCGCAAAAACAATTGCACGGTATAATAACGTTATATTACCACCACGAGATATATGATAATTTTTGTTTGTTTTCTTTTAATATATAGTTTTCTTTCAATAACAGGATAGTTATACATGTTTTCAGTCTCTTGTTGCCAAAAGAAGACTTCGCATATTAAGAAAAAATGGACAAAATATAAACCCCGCCCGCCCACCCTTTCTCAATTGTGATGAATGTTTTATTCATTGTGAGTTGAAGGGCGGAGCTTAGTTGTAAAATCCTCATTTTTCTACAATAATGAATAAAATATTCATCCCAATCGAGAAGGGGTGGGTGGGCGGGGTGTATATTTTGTCGATTTTTTCTTAATATACGAAGTCTTCTTTTCCCGACAAGAAACTGAAAACATGTTTAACTATCCTGTCGTTGAAAAAAAAAAATATATTAAAAAAAAAACACAGATTTAGTACCACCCACCCGCCCCGTTCTCAATTTAGGATTTTAAAATTTTTCGGTTTCTTGATTTTTCGATTTCTCGTTTTTTCAAGTTCTTGGTTTTTCAATTTTGCGGTTTTTCAATTTTTTTTTTATTTCTCCCTTCGATTTTTCGGTGTTTCGAGTTTTAAATTTTTTGATTTCTCCATTTTTTATTTTCTTGATTTTTGCTTTTCGATTTGTCGATATTTAATTTTTTTCATTTTTCGACTTACCGATTTTTCGATTTCCACGTTTTTAAATTTCCCGGTAAATTAATTGCAAAATCCTCATTTCTCAACAAGAAATTACAATATGAAATTTATCACAATTGAGATTGGGGCGGGTGGGTGGGGCTTAATCTTTGTTTTTTTTTTAACGTATAGTGACAACAATCGGTCCCGTAGTAAAAAAAAAAATTGAAAATCCAAAGATCTTAAAATGAAAAATTGAAGAGCAAATTCAAGAAATTGAAAAATGCAGAAATCGAAAAATTGAAAACTCCAGACATCGAAAAATCGGAGGGAGAAATCAAAAAATTGAAAAACCGAAAGATCGGGATCTCGAAAAATCGAAAACTCAAAAAATCTAAAATTTGAAAATTCAACAAATTGAAAGATTTAAAAACGGGGAAATCGAAAAATTAAATAACTAAGAAATTGAAAAGTGGGGAAATCAAGAAATCGAAGGGAAAAATAAAAAAATTGAAACTGTAATATTGAAAAACCGAAAAACAGAAATCGTTAAAACTCAAAATTGAAAAATCAAAAAACCGAAAATTTTTAAAATCCAAAAATTGATCTTAAGTGGAGAATCCACAAAGCAAAAAATAGAAAAATTCAAAATTCGAGGAATAGAATAGGCGAAAAATCGGTACCTTGAAAAATTGAAAAGTCGAAAAATCGGTAAGTCGAAAAATGGAGAAATCAAAAAAATTGAAAAAACGCAAAATTGAATAATCAAGAACTTGAAAAAACGAGAAATAGAAAATCAAGAAACCGACAAATTTTAAAATCCAAAATTGAGAACGGGGTGGTAGTAAATCTTTGCTTTTTCTTTAATATATATATATTTTTCAACAAAAGAATAGTTAAAAATGTTTTCAGTTTCTTGTTGGGAACAGAAGACTTCGTATATTAAGAAAAAATGGACAAAATATAAACCCCGCCCACCCACCCTTTGTCAATTGTGATGAATGTTTTATTCATTGTCAGTTGAAGGGCGGAGTTTAATGACAAAATCCTCATTTCTTTACAAGAAATTACAATATGAAATTGAGATTGGAGCGGGTGGGTGGGACTTAATCTTTGTTTTTTTTTTAACGTATAGAGTGACAACAATCGGTCCCGTAGTGAAAATATCCGGAAAATATCTGGTAATATCTAAAAAAAAAAAAATTGAAAAATCCAAAGATCGAAAAATCAAAAATTGAAAAATCGAAAACTCGAAAAATCTAAAAATTGAAAATTCAACAAATCGAAAAATTGAAAAACGGCGAAATCGAAAAATTGAATAACTAAGAATTTGAAAAGTGGAGAAATCAGGAAACCGAAAAATCGAAAGGAAAAATAAAAAATTGAAGAATCAAGAACTTGAAAAATTTTAAAAACGAGAAGTCGAAAAATCAAAAAACCGAAAAATTTTCAAATTTAAATGTTGATCGAAAACTGGAGAATCCACAAATCAAAAAATTAAAAAATTAAAAAATCGACGAATAGAATAATCGAAAAATGGAATATAACCGGGAAATTGAAAAACGGGGAAATCGAGAAATTGAATAACTAAGAAATTGAAAAGTCGGGTAATCAAGAAGTCGAAAAATCGAGAATTTGAAAAATTGAAAACCCCAAACATCGAGAAATCGAAGGCAGAAATGAAAAAATTGAAAAACAGAAAAGTTGGAAAAATCAGAAATGAAAACTCGAAAAATTGAAAAATTAAGAGCTTGAAAAATTGAAAAAACGAGAAATCGAAAAATCAAAAACCGAAAGATTTTAAAATCCAAAATTGACAACGGGGCGGGTGGGTGGAATTAAATCTTGTATTTTCTGATTTTTCTCGAATCTGAAGAAATGAAAAATCTAAAAATTTAAACGTCCAAAAGTTGGAAAATTGGAAAGCTGAAAAATTAAAAAATGAAAAAACAAACAATTATAAAATCGGAACATTGAAAAATTGTAAAAATAAAGAAAATAAAAAATTGAAAATGGAAAAATTAAAAATCAAAAACTCGAGAAACTCAAATCGAAAAAAAAATTATAATTTTACAAAGATGTCGGATTTATTTGACTGCACTTAGGGGCGAGGGAAGTTCTGTTGAAATAACCTTCGACTAATTTGTTACTTTTGGAATTAATTTTTCAATTTTGAATTTTCGCATTTTTCAAACATCAGCTATTTCGATATGTATCTTAATTTTTCGACTTCTCCACGTATCGATCTTTTGATGTTGTTTTTCAATTTTGAGATTTTTTGGATTTCGATTTCAAAATTTTTAGATTTTTCGACTTTGTTTTTTTTTTTCACTTGGTCGATTTTAAAAAAAATTTAAATCTTACATTTTTCAACATTTTCATCTATTCGATATTTTAATTTTTGAATTTTTTAAATTTTCAAAATTCTTGATTTTCTAATTATTCGGTTTTAACAATATTTTTATTTCTCCTTCAAAAACGAAACATCACATTTAAAAAAAAAAAAAGTCGCTAGGAGCCCCTAAGATTCTGTAAAATTCTTTCTCTTTGAAACGCAAAAATTGGTCTAAAATCATTTAGACAGATCTTCCCTCGGCTCTGAGGTAAAAATATATTATCAGCACATGCTTAACATCAATAATATACGGACGAATTATCTAAAAACGAATATTTTTAAAATTGAAGTTGTTTTCGCCAAAAATACCCAGTTACTTTGATTATTATTTTTAAATGTTTTTACACAAAATTAAAGCTTCATTTAAATTTAATTTAGTGACGTAAAAAAGTTAAAAGCGATAATTTTTCAACTATATGGCGTCCATGAAGTCTGGATCGTAAACAATCAGGCATAAAATATCCATTACAAAAAACAATGATGATAATAATAATATAAACACACTTGTTTTTAGTTGTTTAAAAGATATTACGTAGTACAATCTTTTCTGGTAACAAAATAATCTACTCTACGAAACAAACGACATGCATTGTCAGACTACTACGAACAGGTGGTCTCAAATGCTAATAGTCATACACTTCACGACTTACCGACTGAGCCTGTACCGGACCCCCCTGGGGCTGGAATGGACTCGACGGCGGCGTCGGGCACTGCGGAGCCCCATCGGGCCTTTTCCCTTGCACCGCATTGACCATCTGCTGACTCAGCGGCTGATTTCTAGCCAACAACCGATACGCCATGATTTGCGCCCTGCATTAAACACACTTAAGTAAAGTCGTTACTCAGCAAAATCCCTCAACCAAACCTCAACTGGTTCATCTGCAATGGGCTAAAAATCGTGTTGCTCCCATTGGTCCGAGCCCTCAGCGCCAGCAACTGCGAGTATCTGGGGTCTTCCTGCAACCCTTTCTCCTCCATGGAGTCTATAGCCCTCTGCAACGCATTCAAATTCTCCTGGCCTTGCGGTCCGGGTTGTCCCGGCTGGCCTGGACCAGGCGGGCCCGGAGGAGGTCCCTGCGGTCCGGGCGACGACGACGGGTTCTGGGGAAAAACCGTTCTTACATTTCCGGAATTTCCGGTGTTTAAGTGGAACATTACTGGACTCTTTCGTGACAGGTTGGGGAAACCATCGTCCAATTTACACGTGACGTGTTTGCATAGTCTGATTTAAATAATAACTTAATCGTGCGATAAAACATATTTTCGTCCTTCAGACTGTTTGTACAAGGAACAATTAATTTTACTTTCATTATCTAGCCCAAACAGAACTTTTGTTTGAGTAAAAAAAATATATATCTATGCAAATTGCGGTTTAGTGCACGAAAATCACAGTAGTTGAATCGTGGGTAATTCCATCTCCCATCCACCGGGCTTATAAATACAGGAGATCGAGAGCGCGTAAAAACTGAAAGTTATATAGTTGGGGTACTCAAGGCCTTTGATGGTTTTGTAGACTGTCGCTCATTTGTGACTTGAACATTGGAAAGATCGGTCGAAGCGAGATGGGTCACCAGGAAGTGCAAGAATATTTCGATTTCGTCCTACCTTTGGTGAAGGAATCGGGAAAGGTAAGTAATTTTTTGCAATTTTTGGAATAATCCTCACGCTTTGTTTAATTTTAGGTAATCCTCGAAGCCAACGACTACGAAATCGAAACCAAGGAAGAAATCTACGACATCGTCACCATCTACGACCGCAAAGTCGAAGACATACTCATCAAAGCAATCAAGACCAAATACCCCACCCACAAGTAAGACCCGTCAAAAATTTTTCTCCGTCTAAAAACCCCGTTTTAGATTCATAGGCGAGGAGGAATCTTCAGCCAAGAATTACATATCGGAGTTGACCGATGACCCAACGTGGATCATCGACCCCATCGATGGTACAGCGAATTTCGTGCGAAGTTTCCCGATCACGTGCATCTCAATCGGGCTTACCATCAAAAAGGAGCAAGTGATGGGCATAATTTACAACCCTTTCATGGAGGAATTGTACACGGCGATCAAGGGTCAAGGGGCGTTCCTGAACGGGAAGAGACTTCAAACCAGCAAACAGACAAGTAAGTAGTTTGAAACGACCCCCATAAACCTAAATCGGGTGTCTAGATATCCAGAAGTGTGTCCTCAACTATGAGTTGTCCCTCGCCAGGAATGACAAACTCCGGGAAATGTACCTGTACAGGTTTTCTCATTTGATATCGGCGATTATGGGGTGAGTTTTGGTATAATTTAGTAACCAGAAATACTAAATACGAAATAAAATTGACAGGATTCGTTCGATGGGTTCAGCTGCAATGGGTCTTTGTTACGTCGCCCGAGGGTCGATGGATGCCTACCAATGCGATGGGTTGTACCCATGGGATGCCGCTGCTGGGGTTCTAATAGTACGAGAAGCCGGTGGAGCGGTCAGTGATTCCACAGGTATTATGACCCCATTTTTTGTTTTTTCGGGACGACACAAATCATTTTGGTTTTAGCTGGGAAAGAGTTCGACCTCATGAACCCTAATTTCATAGCAGCGGCTTCAAAAAGACTTCTAGATCAGCTGTTAGCAGTCGAGAAGCAAGCCGATGACGAAAGATTAGCCGCCCTACTAGTTAAGAAGGCCAATGTTGGATGTAAATGAGAATGAGATAAAGTAATTAGTCACTATTATATTTAATGTATTGTTAAAAAAAAAAAACAAGTATTGCTTAATACATGATTATCTAGCAGAAACTAGGAAATTATTTCAGCATCACCGATTTTGCGGTAAATAAATGCAAAGAGTAACCTTGGAGTGGCACTGTCAAGGAGATTTAGCATTTTTAGAAATATTTCATTTTAGAATGTCTAACTACTAACAAATAAATTTAATGTAAATGTTATAAAATGATCAATTAGAGAGTAATTTGTTGTAAGGCGTGACAATTAAGTGATCAATTATTCATCAGTTGTGTGTAATTATAATTTAAATTACATGTATGTGTTGTTGTAGAAAAAACTTGTGTCAATTAGCATGAAAATTAGAATAGAAGATTTTATGACTTAAGCTCAACAAGACAACAATGACGCTTATTTTATTAATTTATAGCAGCACTAATCCTTATATACGCATGTAGAAAAAATGTTTCATGCAACGGTGCAGTCTTCAAATAAGATAAAATTTTGTACGAGCAACAAAGAAAGAAATTAAAATACTAGTGTAATAAAAATTACATTGTTAGAATCAGTAGCGAAGAAGAAATAAGTCGATCTACTATGAAATTTTCACAAGAAAAGCGCAATAATGTATCAACCCCAATTTTCCATATAAAAAGCACTCCTACTGGATTTTGTACAGATAGTTCAATATTGTGAGTCATCAGAATCTAACAACGAACTATCAGTCAGTAGCGCAACATGCACACTTCAGAAGGGGGTGGTTTTTAAAATTATTTTTCTTTAAATCGCAAATAATAACAAAGGGAAACAAATAAGAAATATTTGTGTTATACTTGACCCCTACCTGTCCTTGCTGCGGATGCGCCCCCATGGGCATCGGGTGCCCCGGGTAGGGCTGCCCTTGCTGCATGCTGTGCCCCGGGCCCATCCCGTGGGGCGGCGCCCCCGGCTGCATGCCCGGGTGTCCTTGCGGCGGCGGCGGCCCGCCGTGCGGCTGGTGCGGTGGCGGCGGTCCCCCGGGCTGCATCTGCATCGGTGGCCCGCCCGCGTGTCCTTGGGGCGGCGGCCCGCCCATGTGGTGTCCCTGCGGCGGCGGGTGCGGCTGGTGGTTGGGGTGGCCTTGCGGGCCGCCGGGGTGTCCCTGCGGCGGCGGAGCGTTGGGGTGGTTTTGCGGGGGTTGGTGCGGGCCGCCGGGCATGCCCGCGTGGGGCTGTGGGCCGTGAGGAGGCATGGAGTGGGGCTGAGGAGGCATGTGCGGGCCGGGGGCGTTCGGGTTCATGGGGTGTTGGTGGCCGGGATTGGGCTGCATGGGGACCATGTTAGGGTGGCCGGGGCCGGCGTTTGGCGGCATGGAATGTGGAGGCGGGCCGTTGACGTGGCCGCCCATGGGGGGAGGGGCTTGGTAAGGGCTGTGAGGGGACGGGGGCGGGGCGGGGCTTTGGATGGGCGGACCCATGGGACTGGGGGCTTGCGGGGGAGGCATGGGGCTGCTCTGGGGAGAGGGGCTGGCCATGTTGAGCTGAAAGTCAAAATTTAGGTTAATTTAGTCTTCAAATTTGTATAATAAATTCGCGTTATCTTATGACGTCGGGTAGAAAAGTCTACTTGTCAGGGAAGGATTTGTGTTATCTCCCTGTATGAGTGTAGTCGTAAAAAAAATCGGGCATCAATGGAAGAATAATACAAGACTTGAAGATAACTGAAGAATGTATGATGAGGTTATTAACAAGTAATTTAAAATAGATTTTTCAGAAAAAAACCAGTTTTAAATTAACAATATTAATGGTCGTGTTTAAAACGACAGTTCTTGGTAAATCTGAGTTCATTTATGAATCACTTCAGTGACAGGTTAAACGGAAATGTAATCGGACAATAATTTTAGAGTTGATTAAATCACAAAAATTTATAAATTTTAAAAGGGCAAAAAATAGTTATATAGTGGGTCTTCTGGTTCAGTTTCTGGCGTAAACTGGAATCAATATTTTGCCTTTTTTATTTTAATACGTGTAGACGTTTTTTCACACATGAAACCTAAAACATGTTTAAAATGGAAAATTTGTATAGCGAAATATCGATTTTGAAATTAGGCTCCGCCCCAAAATTGCAAAATCCATATTTTCTTGCAAAAATGTACCATTTTAACGATGCTTTGAGTTTCTTGTTGTGAAAAGAAACCAAAAAATATACAAAATATAAGCCCCGCCCACCCACCCCGTCTCAATTGTGATAAATGTTTTATTCATCGTGAGTTGAAGGGAGGAGGTTAATTGCAAAATCGTCATTTCTTTACAAAAAATTACCATATGAAATTCGTCACAATTGAGATTGGGGCGGGTGGGTGGGGCTTAATTTTTTTTTAATATTTATAGTTTTCTTTCGACAATAGGATAGTTAAACATGTTTTCAGTTTCATTTTGCCTTTTTTTTTTAATATGTGTAGACTTCGTTTCACAACATGAAACCCATGTTTTAAGTTTCTTGATGTGAAAAGTTTGCTACGGATATTAAGAAAAAACAAAGCAAAACATAAGCCCCGCCCACCCGCCCTATCTCAATTCGGATGATTTTTTTTTATTCGTCGTTAGCTGAGGTGCTGAACTTAATTGCAAAATCCTTATTTTTCTACGAGAAATTACCATATGAAACATATTCGTTTTCCAAAGAAAACTAATAAATGTATTTTTATTAAAAAAATAATAATAGTAATAATAAAAAAAGAAAACTAAAAGAGAAGTCCCATCCATCCATCTCGATCTCAATCGTGATGAATTTTTCATTCGTTGTCAGACCTAGGGGTGGAGCCTAGTTGCAAAATTCATATTTCCTTACAAACATTTACAAATTTAAACATATTCTGCGTTTCTATGAATAAAAAAAAACATCACAATAGAGATGGGGTGGGTGGGTGGGGTATATATTTTCCATTTGTTTCTTAATATACATAGCATTCTTTAAACGCGATACTCAAAAACTTATTTTTAATATCTTGTAAAGAAATAAGTATTTTGCAGTTAGGCTATGCCCCTTTGGTTCACGGCGAATTAAAAAAATCATCACAATCGAGATAGGGCGGGTGGGCGGGCTTCCATTTTGCCTTTTTGTTTTAGTATGTGTAGCCTTCTTTTCACAAGATGAAACCTAAAACATGTTTAAAATGGAAAATTTGTATAAGGAAATATCGATTTTGAAATTAGGCTCCGCCCCAAAATTGCAAAATCCATATTTTCTTGCAAAAATGTACCATTTTAACGATGCTTTGAGTTTCTTGTTGTGAAAAGAAACCAAAAAATATACAAAATATAAGCCCCGCCCACCCACCCCGTCTCAATTGTGATAAATGTTTTATTCATCGTGAGTTGAAGGGCGGAGGTTAATTGCAAAATCGTCATTTCTTTACAAAAAATTATCATATGAAATTCGTCACAATTGAGATTGGGGCGGGTGGGTAGGGTTTAATCTTTTTTTTTTAATATATATAGTTTTCTTTCGACAATAGGATAGTTAAACATGTTTTCAGTTTCATTTTGCCTTTTTTTTTTTAATATGTGTAGACTTCGTTTCACAACATGAAACCCATGTTTTAAGTTTCTTGATGTGAAAAGTTTGCTACGGATATTAAGAAAAAAGAAAGCAAAACATAAGCCCCACCAACCCGCCCTATCTCGATTCGGATGATTTTTTTTATTCGTCGTAAGCTGAGGGGCTGGGCTTAATTGCAAAATCCTTATTTTTCTACGGGAAATTACCATATGAAACATATTCTTTTTCCAAAGAAAACTAATAAATGTATTAATTAAAAATATTATAATAGTAATAATAAAAAAAGAAAACTAAAAGAGAAGTCCCACCCATCCATCTCGATCTCAATCGTGATGAATTTTTCATTCGTAGTCAGACCTAGGGGTGGAGCCTAGTTGCAAAATTCATATTTCCTTACAAACATTTACAAATTTAAACATATTCTGCGTTTCTAAGAATAAAAAAAATCATCACAATAGAGATGGGGTGGGTGGGTGGGGTATATATTTTCCATTTGTTTCTTAATATACATAGTATTCTTTAAACAACACGATACTCAAAAACTTATTTTTAATATCTTGTAAAGAAATAAGTATTTTGCAGTTAGGCTCTGCCCCTTTGGTTCACGGCGAATAAAAAAATCATCACAATCGAGATAGGGTGGGTGGGCGGGCTTCCATTTTGCCTTTTTGTTTTAGTATGTGTAGCCTTCTTTTCACAAGATGAAACTTAAAACATGTTTAAAATGGAAAATTTGTATAGGGAAATATCGATTTTGAAATAAGGCTCCGTCCCAAAATTGCAAAATCCATATTTCCTTGCAAAAATGTAGCATTTCAACTATGTTTTAAGTTTCTTGGTGTGAAAAGATGGCCACGTATATGAAGAAAAAAAAAGGCAAAATATAAGCCCGCCCACCCGCCCTATCTCGATTGTGATGATTTCTTTATTCTTCGTGAGTCACGGCGACGGAGCTTAATATATATAACTCTTGTCCCTTTAACAAAATTCTATGACTTTCTTTTGTTTTAATCGTTATACATATAAGTACATTTTAACTGATTATCGAATTAAAAACTATGAAATATACAAAAAATATACCAAAAAACAAATGGGCGAATAAATCGACTCAGTTCCTCAAAGTACACTTATTTGAAATAAAATTATGGTTTTTATAATAACAAATTTATGGATTTTTTCACGGGTGAAAAGTTATAGTGTATTTTGTGTTGCATAATTCTATGTTTTGTGGAAACACTTACCAAATTTTGTGTTTGAAATGATATTACATATTTTTAAGCAATAATTGACGAAATGACTTTCAATGACTTTACTTAAAAATCCCGTAAGTCTATACACAAATTATAAATAACGTGGATTATTTCAAAATTGGATTGAAAATATTTACAAACATCGACTTCCTTTCTTGAAAATTGGTTGGTTTTGTGATTTCGTTTGCAATATGCCAAACTAGCCATTTAAGACAATTTACAACTCGTGACGTCACAACTTATGACATAATAACCCCTTGCCACACAAATTTCCCCAGATGAAGTGAAATCGACCCGCCACTGGCAACAAATGTCATTTCGCTTTATATTTTTTTTTGGTATCAGAGCAATCTGGATCTTTTTTGTACCCCAAAAACATCTCATAAAAACCCAAGTCCCCCAAGCGCACGCCCCCACTGGCCCATTTCTTGTCATTTTAACCGCCGTTTCGCTGACGCCTCGAAGGTTACGCGTCCGTTCGACCTCAAACCGGTAGTGATTCGTTTAACCTCACTTCTGCGAAAACAAGTAAGTGTAAAATACCTTTAAAAACCCCCAACAACCAGTATCGACTTCACTTAGCAATTTTCACAATAACGTTCGTGAATTTTCTGAACAATGACCCCTTGGTAAACCCACATTTCCGGTCGCTTTGAACCCACCTTTAGTGAAATCACACTTCTGTCATCGACTGTTCACACTAATCACATAATTTAAGTCCATTCGTGCTTCCAAAGACCCAGACACTCATAGTTTTAATTAAAATACTAAAATCACTCTCGCCATTTTCGACCAACACAACTTGTGGCCGCATTCGCATCGTCCGTCTTTGTTTTTGAATGAGTTGGAGAGAGAGAGAGGAGGGGTGGAGTGTGTGACAGAACTGACAGAGGGCGCTGGGGACTAACGCGCGAAATTCGATTTGTTGCAGAAATGGACCAGTTTCCGTTCATGCACGAGTGTTTGAAGGAGTTTAATTACCCGAACATACATGGCATGGATGAGGAGGAGGTAGCTGATGTGTTTTCCAAAGTCAATCGACAGTTTTTGATTGGGTGGATATTGAAGCAAATCGATGACGATTACTGCGACATTGTTGAAATTGCAACCAAAGAAGAATTAGGGCACCTGATTTATTGTAGCGGGTTTTGCAGTACCTCAGAAAAGGATAAGTTCATGAATGGGGATTGTGAACCGTCAGAACAGGTAATGATTTATTTTTAATACTTGTGTGGCGTGGATAGGCAACCAACAATACAAGTGTGTTACCAATCGAATGCGTACAAATCCAAAACTGTGCAAAAACAAAATGCCTTATTTTGTTTTTGTTTTAGTTCGCCGTATTATATAAGATGTTCACGCATCTGAAACTAGTTTCCGAGGTCAAAAAATTTGATGAACCTCCTAGAACCGTTTCCCTTGAAGAAATAGAAGATGTTCTGAAATTTGACAACAATTTATTTCCAATGTATGGTCCAAAGAGAACCCTCACTCCTGAAGAACGAGCAAAAAAACTAGCAGATTATCGGAAAGAAATTGAGACTTTACAAAAGTCTCTCAACTCGGAAAACGGAGTTGAAAATGAGTTTGTACTTGATCCCACCCTGAATCACCAATTGGCATCAGTTATGGACAAGTTAGAGAAGAATTTTCCCGAGTTTACAAAAAAAAATTTAGAAGTAATGAAAAACACGGAGTCTGTGGATACCGAGAAGAGTTTAGTCAGTGAATTTGAGGAAACACTTAAGACGTTTAGTCAACAGATTGAAACAGCGCTGGAGGTAAAGTGTGGTTTGTATTATTTTGACAATGTTTAACGTTTTGATTTCAGTTTATTAAAAGCATGAACGTGGTGATGAATTTTAAAGCAGATTATATGAAGGTGGAACATGAACAGAACAAAAGTATCGCTATGATGAGTGAATTGGTCGAGTTGTGTGAAGAAGTCGCCGCTTTAAAGCAAGAACACAATGTTTAGATATTTGTAAATTTTTGTATTTTCGTATAATTAAATGTTACCTATCTATTCACTTGTTTTTTATTAAGTCAAGTATTGACTTCGTTAGTTGAAAATTTTCACTGTACAGTAGCTCAACGATATCAAAATGGTCTACTTTTGGTACAACGATCGCAGATGAATTCACACCTGCGTGTTCTAACTTGTCGTGAAACTCTTTTGATTGCTTTCTAAACTCTGGACTATCATTTTCAGCAGATACAACACACATTGTTGAAGAAATTTCACCAACGAGACTTTGTTTAAGAGGGCTTAGTGCTACTGCGTCAGTTTTACTTAAATTTAAGGCACCATTAATCGAAGTTTCTGGTATTAGTTCTAAATTATAAACTCCAGCTATCAGAATTACTGTTTTGATAAAATTTCTCTCTTCGTTGCTTAAATTTTTAGCAATATTTGTGTACAGTGCTGCCACTAAGTGCGAACCTGCTGAATACCCCACCAGATGTACACCCCTGCAACAATACAATGATATTTTTATTGATACAACGTTTTGTCATACTTAGATTTGTTTTCTTTAGCATACTCCAAGCATTTTTTTGTGGCGACTTCAATTTCTTTGACAATTTCCGGTAAAGACACTTTTGGGCAAAGTTCGTAGCCTACAAAAATCGACTTTATGCCATTTTTGTACAAGGGTGTGGCTAGGAAATGGTAAGTGTCACGCTTCAAGGATTCTTCTTGCCAATAACCTCCATGGACAAAGACAAAAATTGGAGCATCTGCAACTGGGGGTTATTAACTTACTGGAATTGTATTTCACCTACCGTTGTCTAAGTCAGTGCCAAAAATGTCGATTTTCTCTTTTTCCAAAGGTCCGTAGCTGAGGTTTAACATAGAAGGTATAGTTTGTCTGGTTTTGTCACTTTCTGTAAGACAAAAGTAAATTGGGTACGAATTTTGGTACTATGGACTTACCTGTTTGGGCGAACTGTACGTGTTTTTCGACGATGGTGTCCGGTGGGTACCTTTGAGACCATCTGCTGGGTAAATATAGTTTTTCTAGAGAGTCCAGTGAGGTTTGCATTATTCTTGTTTGTTGGTAACAAGTTTACAGCGCAATTTAACGTGACCGAGTGAAAGTAGGTTAGTCAAAGAGGGGTCACCGAAACATGTACGTATTTATTAAATTATTCTAATAACAAAACTTCCTGTGGATTTTCCAAAAACTCGTTTTTGTATTTTTCAAAAAGTCGTACCAGTCCATCAACGAACTTCTCATGCACCAAATCAATTTCCTCACCAGTCGGATTTTCTCGTTTTTCAACTTCAATTGGGGTACCCACTAAATCAGAGTCGTGAGTTTGCAAACCCAGTACTAAAATACAACTTACAAACAGTCTTCAACGGTCGCCTCAGTGGTGTTATACCGAAAGTCGTCTCAGTGACCCCTCTTCCATAAAACAACGCCGGCGCAAACCCGAACCATTTCTTAACAAACTCCTGCACCCGTCGTACTTTCGCATGATGTACCTGTCTAAAAATTTCGTTTTCCCCGAATGTGATAACCGGTACTAGCGAGGTACCATTTTGTAGTGCTACCTTAACGAAACCTTTGCGACTTTTGACGAAAAATTTATACTCTTTTCGACCAGCGTTGAAAGTTTCTGAGGCACCCCCTGCGCTAAGAAGAACGATTTGGCCACCTCCTGGTCTACGTAAGACGTAACTGATGGATTTGGCTGAACACGACACAAATCCCAAAGCTAGAGCGAGTTCTCTGAAGAAGGGGTTGTAAAAAAATATTCGGAGGACTGCTATATGAACCTTGAAATTGGGGTACAAATGTCGAAATTCGCTGTAGTAGCTGGATATGTTGTGGAAGAGGCCTGTGGGTATGATTCCATGAGGGAAGCAAGCGAAGAGATAGTTTTGTTGTGGGTTTAGTGTTATTTCTGGTGTGATTAGGTTAGCAGGGAAATAATTTTTGTAGTACCACCATGATTTCAAGCTTTGGAACCATTGATTGGAACGTCCTCCGGTTTCTGGAGTTTTGCGGTCATGGTAGCACCAGAGGAGGTAGAGTACTCCTAGCCACCAAAAACGTGTTGTTAGTAATAATAAGTAGAGCGTCCAACCAATTGGGGTAGCACCAACGAGGAGTAAAAACCATACGGAGGTTGCTAAAGTTTGGAGTTGTCGTTCATAAATCATCTAAAAATTAGAAGTATTTTAAAGATTTTTAAATTGGCAGTTTTACTTTTTAGATTAATCTTTATTGTGTGGTTTCTGCTTGGTGGTACTACTTTGTTGTAAAGCTGTTATTAGAAGAATGTGTTATTTGTATCCACGAAGGCTATGCGTATATGATTATCGTTAAACATTGTTTCAAGTACAAGAAAGTACCATTAAGTATCTTGAACAACACTCAAATTGATGTTTACGCAGCCAAGGAAAAATACAATATCTTGAATTTGATTGACTTCAAGTTCATAATAGTGTTGTTTTTAATTTTATATAATTTTGGTATTATATGAAGAATATCATGTAGATGGTAAAACACTAACCAAAATTTTTCTTATCATCCCTACCAATAATGTGATGACGTCACTTAATTGCTCAGATAAGACTTATTTTGACAAACGCCATAGCTTCAGCAGTTTTTTCAATTGTTTTCAAAAATTAAACACGAAGAATCTCCAAGATTTTTTGAAATTCCTTCAAAATCCTTTTAAACTCTTAAAAAACAGCAACTGTACCTAAATTTTTTTCAAATTTTTAAAAAAATCAAACACTAGGGCGACATTTTTCGAAAACAAAAAAAACTTAAACCCCTAAGACTCCTTCAAATTCTTTCAAAAATAGAATATAAGGTGCCTCAAAATTCTTTTAAACTCTAAAAAAAAATACACCAGAAAAACCCAAGATCTTTCCTTTTTTTTTTTCAGAAACTATACATGAAAGATCTCCAAGATGCTTCCATAAAGATAACGCCAGAGGCCTCTAAGATTCTTCAAAGTTCTTAAAAAGTTCTTAAAAAGAAATTCCAGAAGTTTCCAAAATTCATTTAAACTCTCAAAAATAAAACACCGTAGGTCTCAACACCCTCTTAAACTCTCTAAATAAACAGCAAGTTTTCGTAATTTTTTCGAAAATCAAACACCAGTAATTCTAAGAATCTTTTACTTTTTTTCAAAAAAAAAACACCTGAAACCCCCAAGAATCATTCGGATTCTTTCAAAAATAAAACACCAAGATTTTTTCAAGTTCAAGACTCTTAAACTTTTCCAAAAAATTCGCCAGTGCACTCAAGATTTTTTCAAAAACTAAACATGAAAAACATTAAAGATACTTTTAGAAACATAACACTAGATGGCTTCAAGGTTCTTAAACTCTTGCAAAATAAGACACAAACAACTCCAAGATTATTTCCAATTCTTTAAAAAATGAAACACGAGGAGCCCCAAGATTCGTTCAAATTCTATGAAAAATAGAATACTAAGGTCCTCAACATTCTTTTAAACAAAAAAAAAACACACTAAGGAGGTCCAAAATGTTTTCAGTAAATCAGAGAAATTAAAAACTCCAAGAAAAGCAAGAAACAAAATCTGAAAAACTCGATAAATCCAATAATTCCAATAACTCAAAAAAATCGAAATTATCTCCAAAAACCAAAAAACGGAAAACAAATAAAACAAAAAAAATCCAAAAAAATAAAAAATCTCAAGAATCCAAAGAATCCAAAGTGTCAAAAAATCGAAAATATCTACAAAAATTTAAAAGACCCAGAAGCCAAAGAATTTAAAAAATACAAACAACATAAAAAAATCCAAGAATCTCAAAAATTCAAGAAATCGAATAATATTAAAAAATCGAAAAATTTGAAAATATCCCAAAAATCCAAAAAATCAGAAAATGAAAAAAAAAACAAAAATTAAAATTATCAAAAAATCTATAAAGTCCCAAAGATCCGAAAGATCCGAACGATTTGAAAAATTGGAAAATTTGAAAGGTCCAAAAAAATCCAAAGAATCCAATAATCCAAGAAATCCAAAAAATTCAAGAAGTTAAAAAAAAACGAAAAATTAAAGAATTAAAAAAATTAAAAAATCCAAGAAAACTAAGAAACTCAAAAAATTAAAAAAAATTAATAATTTCAAATTCCAACAATTCAGAAAATCTCAAATATCCCAAAAACCAGAAAATAAATAAAACGAAAAAATAAAAATTATCCAAAAAGTAAAACAAAAGTAAAAAAGCTGAAAGATCCAAAAATGCAAAAGATCGAAATATCTAGAGGATCCAAAAGATTCAAAGATCCAAAAAATCCCAAGAATACAAAGAATCCGAAAAATCCGAGAAATCCGAAGAAATCGAAAAAATAAAAAAAAAACTTGAGAAATCCAATAATTCCAAAATTCCAAAAAATTGAATATATCCCAAAAATCCAAACATTCCAAAAAATAAAAAATCTAAAAAATATACCAGAAACCCAAGAAACATAAACCCAATTTGAAATATATAAAATACTGTGGATCTACTTTTGTAGCTAATCAGTACATTAATATCTTTTTTATGGTTAGAGAGGTAGACAGAGAGAAAAGATGAGAAGATAATACCTACTTAAAAGAGTTAGAGTGAGAAAAAAATAGGTAAGCACATGATAAGAGAATTATGAAATATATACAGGTAATAAAAAGAGAGAAGAAAAAAGGAAGAATCACTGGCAAAAAAAGCTATTCCAGCATTTTTGAGTTGAGTTTTTACTTTACCGAATTTTGTATTCCCAAAATTTTCTGGGAAAATGGATTTAATGAATAAAATAAATTGACACATTCATTAATTTTTTGAGACACCCTGTATAAGCAAATCTAAAAAGTATTAATGCAATGATAAATCCCAAGTAAAAACTCATCATACTTTGCACTTTTCGGGTAGATTTAGGAATTTAACTCGTTACTATGGAAATTTGCAATTTAACACCTTCAAATTTCATAAGTTTTCTCCCCCTATTTTCCCAGAGGATACGTAATTTGCCAAAATCAGTCTTATCCTAACAACTACAAGGCCCGCCCACCCGCCCTCTAGTATTTGTCAGGATGAGTGATTTTGCTCCTATTAAGTTCGGTGGAAGCAGCTGTCGACCATTTTTTTTCTCGTTTTGAGAACTTGCTTTTTATTCACATTTAGTTTGACACAAAATATTTAAACAAATAAACAACATTTACATTTAAACTGTGGGTGAGTTATTCTAACAATAACACCTCCTGTGGATTTTCCAAAAACTCGTTTTTGTGCGTTTCGAAAAGTCGTACCAATTCTTCAACGAATTTTTGATGCACCAAATCAATTTCTTCATTGGTTGGATTTTCTCTTTTCTCAACTTCTATTGGCTTACCTACTACACAACAGCTCACTTAAGTTTGCAGATTTATCTAGAAATAGAGACAACTTACCAACAGTTTTCAAAGGCCGCCTCAGCGGTACCGTTCCGAAAGAATTCTCAGTCAATCCTCTTCCATAAAACAACGCAGGCACAAACCCAAACCGTTTGTTCACAAACTCCTGCACCCGTCGTACTTTATCATTTTGAAACTGTCTAAAGAGCCCATTTTCGCCAAACGTGATAACCGGTACTACCGCGGCACCGTTTCTTAGCGCCATCTTGACGAAGCCTTTCCGTCGTTTTACAAAAAATTTATACTGTTCGTGACCAGCGTTGAAGGTTTCTGTGGCACCTCCTGGGTTAAGAAGAACGATTTGCCCACCTTCTGGTCTACTTAACAGGTAAGTGATGGACTTGGCAGAACATGATACTAATCCCACAGCTAGTCCAATGTCTCTTAAGAACGGAATATAAAAAAGCCAGTGTAGAATTGCTATGTGAACCTTGAAGTTGGGGTACAAGTGTTGAAACTCACTTGGACGGGCTGAGATGTTGTGGAAGGGACCTATGGGTATGATTCCATGGGGAAAGTATGAGAAGAGATAATTTCGTCGTGGGTTTAGTGTTAATTCTGGTTTGACTAGCTTTGCGGGGAAATAGTCTTTGTAGTACCACCAACATTTCAAGCTTAGGATCCAGTCGTTAGAACGTCCTCCGGTTTCTGGGGTTGCGCGATCATGGTATAACCAGAAAGAATAAAGTATTGCTAGCCACCAAAAGCGTGTTGTTAGTAGATAGAGGTAGAGGGTCCAACCGATTGGTGCGGCGAAGACAAGGATGGTAAAACATACCGAGGTTGATAATGTTTGAAGTTGTCGTTCAGATAGAGTTAGGAGTTTATAAATCATCTAAAAATTACAATTTTAACAGTTTGTTTAAACGAGTATTTTCAACATTTCCAAACTATGCTTGTTTGGGTGTTGCTTACTTGCAACTGTACTTATTTTTAGTTTTGTCGACGATAAGGAAGTGAATTATTTAAATAAATTACTGCTTTAATAAAAAGTGGTTATCAGAAGGATGAATTTATTGTATCTACGGGCATTAATAATAAATATTATAAGACAAAATGTAAGACAAATGTAAGATTAACAAAAATCATCACAATTGATATATATTTTGCCCCTCTTGTCTTAATATACAATGCTATATTTTCATAACAAGAAACTTAAAACATGTTTAAAATGGTAAATTCTTGTAGACAAATATGGATCTTGCAGTTAAGCCCCGCCCCTCGATCTGACGATGAATGAAAATTCATCACAACTGAGAATTGAGATCGGGGCGGGTATGGGTGGGGCTTAATATTTGGCTTTATTTTTTTTCTTAATAGACATAGTATTCTTTGAACAACACGATACTCAAAAACAAGTTTTTAATTTCTGGCAGAGAAATAAAGATTTTGCAGTTAAGCTCCGTGCTCTTGGCGCATGACGAATAAAGAAATCATCACAATTGAGATAGGGTGGGTGGGCGGGGCTACATTTTGCCTATTTTCTTAGTATGTGTAGACCTATTTCGACAATAAGAAACTTAAAACATGTCTAAAATAGTAATTTTTTGTAGTAATCAACTTAAATCCGCCACTTTTCTTCTACTAGTGACGTAGTAGAAGCAAGAATAAGGAGTGGAAGCGAGGTCCATCTATTCTATTTTTTGGTCCATCAAAGGTTCAAGACAATAAAATTATTATACTCCCAAAAATTGAGTCACTTTTGGAATATTTAACACATCGGTGATTAATAAACAGATTGATCAATTCACTTCCAAGGATGCTAAGAAGAACCAGAAGAAAAATGTGAAACTGGAGTATACATCTGAACGTAAAGCAACAAAAGGGAGAGTACTCACCTAGACACTTTTAGACGAAGAAGATTTATTTACGGTGCTAATTCTTCGTAGTCGCTAGCTGAACTGTATTATTTGGTTGCCTTATCAACGTTTTCATTATCCAGGTAGACAATTCATTAGTGTACGTACGTAAATTTATGACTGACTGCCCGTAAATATGCACTGTTTGATGACGTTTTATTCAAAGTGGTTTGAAAATTTTAAAGAATATGGTATTTTGTACCTATTCTATTTCTAAATTGGTTTACGACAAATTTTTTCCCTATAAAAGATAACAGAATTGCTTTTAAAATTTTCATTACTTCTTGGTCATGACGTTTATTATCACAAACAAGTAGAATTAGAGTAATCACTGGAATGAAGAGGGGGTGGGTGGGCGGGGCTACTGATTGCTTCTAAAATGGAAAATTCATCACCGTTGAGATCGAGACGGATGGGTGGGGCTTCTCTTTTGGTTTTCTTTTTTAATTAATACATTTAATTTTCTTTGTATATCACGATTACTTAACTGCAAAATACTTATTGCCTTACACGAAATTAAAAATATGCTTTAGAGTGTCGTGTTGTTCAAAAAATACCATGTATATTAAGAAAAAACACAAAATATAAACCCCGCCCACCCGCCCCATCTCGATTGTGATGATTTTTTTAATTCGTAGAAACTTAAAATACGTTTAAAATGGTAAACTTTTGTAACGAAATACGGAATTTCAAATTAGGCTCCGCCTCTAGGTCTGCCAACAAATGAAAACTTTATTATTATTTACATCAGGGCGGGTATGGGTGGGGCTTAATCTTTGGTTTTAATTTTTCCTTAATATACATAGTATTCTTTGAATGACACGATACTCAAGCAAATGTCTTATATGGTAATTTCTTATAGAGAAATAATAAGAATTTTGCATTTAAATACTAAAAAAAATCTCAACGATTAAAAGAAATCATCACAATTGAGATAGGGTGGGTGGGTGGGGCTTATATTTTGCTCCTCTTGTCTTAATATACAATGCCATATTTTCATAACAAGAAACTTAAAACATATTTAAAATGGTAAATTCTTGTGGACAAATATGTATCTTGCAGTTAAGCCCCGCCCTTCGATCTGACGACGAATAAACAAAATCATCACAATTGAGATAGGGCGGGTGGGCGGGGCTACATTTTGTCTTTTTTGCTTAGTATGTGCAGACTTATTTCGACAACAAGAAACTTAAAACATGTCTAAAATAGTAATTTTTTGTAGTACTCAACTTAAATCCTTCACTTTTCTTCTACAAGTGACATGGTAGACGCAAGAACAAGGGGTGAAAAGGAGGTATATCTACCCTATTTGTTGTTCCACCAAGGATTCAAGACAATTATTGTACTCCCAAACTGTTTACCCATGAGTTTAGTTGTTTTATCTTTATTTTGTGTCTATAACTTGTAATTGAGTCACTTTTGGAAAGGATTTAACACATTGGTGATTAATAAACAGATTGATCAGTTCACTTCCAAGGATGATAAGAAGAACCAGAAGAAGAATGTGAAATTGTGTATACATCTGAACGTAAAGCAACAAAAGGAAGAGTACTCACCTAGAAAACTAAGCCTTTTAGACCAAGAAGATTTATTTACAGTGCTAATTCTTCGTAGTCGCTAGCTGAACTGTATTATTTGGTTGCCTTATCGACCTTTTCATTATCCAAGCAGAGAATTCATTAGTTTAAGTACGTAAATGTATAACTGTCTGATAGTAAAACATGTAGTGTTTGTTTACGTTTTATTCATATATATTTGAAAATTTTAAAGAATATGGTATTATGAAATATTATTATTATACATATAAGATAACAGCGTTGCTTTTAAAATTTTCATTACTTCCAGGTCATAACGGTTATTAGCATAAACAAGCAGAATTACAGCCCTACTTTAACATTTCTTTACAGTTGTTCAAGGTTAAGTACTAGTACCAACTGTTCAAATGAACTAAACTATACTGTACTATACTATAAAATTTTAAATTACAATTAAACTGTGTGTGAGTTATTTTAACAACAACGCTTCCTGCGGATTTTCCAAAAACTCGTTTTTATATGTTTCAAAAGTCGTACCAATCCTTCGACGAACTTCTGATGCACCAAATCAATTTCTTCACTGGTCGGATTTTCTTTTTTTTCGACTTCTATTGGCGTTCCCACTAAATCAGAGTCATTAGTTTGTAAATTTATCACGTTCTGAAAGTCAACTTACAAACAGTCTTCAACGGTCGCCTCAACGGTACCATTCCGAATGAATTCTCAGTGAACCCTCTTCCATAAAACAACGTAGGCACAAATCCAACCTATTTCTTCACAAAGTTCTCACCCGTAGTACCGTCTCATTTTGAAACTGTCTATAAATCTTATTTTCATTGAACGTGATAACCGGTACCAACGTAGTACCATTTCTCAAAGCCACCTTAACGAAACCTTTTCGATTCTTAACGACAAATTTATACTGTTTGTGACCAACATTGAAGGTTTCTGAAGCACCTCCTGGGCTTAACACCACGATTTGGCCACCTTCGGGTTTGCTTAAGAGGTAATCAAGCGATTTGGCTGAGCACGAGATTAATCCCAGAGCTAGTCCCAACTCCCTCACGAAGGGAGTGTATGAAAGAATATGTAGAACTGCTATGTGAACCTTGAAAGAAGGGTACAGTTGTCGAAATTCGCTTGCATGGCTCAATATGTTGTTATAGGAACCCGAGGGGAATAATCCATGAGGGAAACACGCGAAGAGATAATTTCGTCGTGGGTTTAGTGGTAGTTCTGGATTGATTAGCGTAGCCGGGAAATAATCCTTAAAGTACGAGAAAGTTCTCCAGCTTTGGGTCCAATGGTTGGAGCGTCCTCCGGTTTCTGGGGTTTTTCGGTCATGGTACAACCAGAAGGAATAAAGTACTGCTAGCCACCAGAAACGTGTTATTAGTAGGAAAAAGTAGAGTATGATGCCGATTGGGCTACCAAAGGCCATGGTAAGTGTAAGCCACAGTGAGGCTGACACTGTTTGGAGTTGCCGTTCGGAGAGTGAGGGAAGCTCACAATTCATCCTAAATGAAAAAGCATTTCAATTATGTATCTTATACCTTCGGTAAAAGGAATGTAGTTTGGTACCAATTTTATGCCACGTACTTCTTAGTTATCTTCCATGACGATGGAGGTCATTCAGACCATTTGCTGGACAAACCTAGGATAGTTTCTATAGGTCAAAGTTACATGATACACAACACACCAAGCAAAATTTGCTAACATTATAAAACTTCAGTATTCAAACGAAGAAGAGAAAACAAGAAGAAAAAACTGGGTGAAAGTTGTTTCGACAGAACTTCCCTCGCGCCGAAAGTACAATGAAACATATCCAGCATTTCCGAGTTGAGTTTTTACTTTACACAATTCGTAGTACCTGTTAAGATAAGATTGATTTTGACTGAAATATGTAAATGACTGAACAATATTAAGAGTAATCACTGGAACGAAGAGGGGGTGGGTGGGCGGGGCTACTGCTTGCTTACAAAATGGAAAAATCATCACCGTTGAGATCGAGACGGATGGGTGGGGCTTCTCTTTCGGTTTTCTTTTTTAATTAATACATTTAATTTTCTTTGCATATCACGACTACTTAAGAATATATTTCACATGGTATTTTCTCGTACAATAAAAAAAATCATCAGAATTGAGACAGGGCGGGTGGGCGGGGCTTACATTTTGCTTTTTTTTAATACATAGAGCCATTTTTTCATAACAAGAAACTTAAAACATGGTTGAAGTGGTTTTGTAAGGAAAAATGGATTTTGCAGTTATGGGGAGGAGCCTAATTGCAATATCGATGTTTCGTTATACAAAATTTCCATTTTAAACATGTTTTAAGTTTCTTGTTGTAGAAAGAAGGCTACACATATTAAAACAAAAAGGCAAAATGTTTGCCCGCCCACCCACCCTATCGCAATTGTGATGATCTTTTTTATTCACCGTTAACCAAGGGAGCGGAGCTTAACTGCAAAATACTTATTGCCTTACACGAAATTAAAGATATGTTTTTGAGTGTCGTGTTGTTCAAAAAAATACCATGTATATTAAGAAAAAACACAAAATATAAACCCCGCCCACCCGCCCCATCTCGATTGTGATGATTTTTTTTAATTCGTAGAAACTTAAAACACGTTTAAAATGGTAAACTTTTGTAACGAAATACGAAATTTGGAATTAAGGCTCCGCCTCTAGGATTGCCAACAAATGAAAACTTTATTATTATTTACATCAGGGCGGGTATGGGTGGGGCTTAATCTTTGGTTTTAATTTTTCCTTAATATACATAGTATTCTTTGAATGACACGATACTCAAGCAAATGTCTTATTTAGTAATTTCTTATAGAGAAATAATAAGAATTTTGAATTTAAATACAAAAAAAAATCTCAACGATTAAAAGAAATCATCACAATTGAGATAGGGTGGGTGGGTGGGGCTTATATTTTGCCCCTCTTGTCTTAATATACAATGCCATATTTTCATGACAAGAAACTTAAAACATGTTTAAAATGGTAAATTCTTGTAGACAAATATGTATCTTGCAATTAAGCCCAGCCCCTCGATCCGACGACGAATAAACAAAATCATCACAATTGAGATAGGGCGGGTGGGCGGGGCAACGTTTTGTCTTTTTTGCTTAGTATGTGCAGATTTATTTCGACAACAAGAAACTTAAAACATGTCTAAAATAGTAATTTTTTGTAGTACTCAACTTAAATCCTTCACTTTTCTTCTACAAGTGACATGGTAGACGCAAGAACAAGGGGTGAAAAGGAGGTCTATCTACCCTATTTGTTGTTCCATCAAGGTTTCAAGCCAATTATTGTACTCCCAAAATGTTTACCCATGAGTTTAGTTGTTTTATCTCTATTTTGTATCTATAACTTGTAATTGAGTCACTTTTGGAAAGGATTTAATAGATGGGTGATTTGTAAACAGATTGATCAATTCATTCCAAAGATGATAAGAAGAACCAGAAGAAAATGTAAAATTGGAGTATACATCTGAACGTAAAGCAACCGAAAGAAGAGTACTCACCTAGAAAACTAAGACTTTTAGACGAAGAAGATTTATTTACAGTGCTAATTCTTCGTAGTCGCTAGCTGAACTGTATTATTTGGTTGCTTTATCAACCTTTTCTTTATCCAGGTAGAGAATTCATTAGTGTAAGTACGTAAATTTATATCTGTCTGATAGTAAAACATGTACTGTTTGTTTACGTTTTATTCATAGTTGAATTTGAAAATTTTAAAGAATATAGTATTATTAAATATTATTGTACATATAAGATAACAGCGTTGCTTTTAAAATTTTCATTACTTTCAGGTTATAACGTTTATTATCATAAACAAGCAGAATTACGGCCCTACTTTAACATTTCTTTCAGTTGTTCAAGGTTAAGTAGTACCAACTATTTAAATGAACTATACTATACTATAAAACTTTAAATTACAATTAAACTGTGGGTGAATTATTCTAACAACAACCCTTCCTGCGGATTTTCCAAAAACTCGTTTTTATATGTTTCAAAGAGTCGTACCAACCCATCGACGAACTTCTAATGCACCAAATCAATTTCTTGACTGGTCGGATTTTCTCTTTTTTCGACTTCTATTGGTGTTCCCACTAAATCAGAGTCACGAGTTTGTAATTTTATGACGTTCTGAAATACAACTTACAAACAGTCTTCAACGGTCGCCTCAGCGGTACCATTCCGAATGAATTCTCAGTGAACCCTCTTCCATAAAACAACGGAGCTAGAGAGTGGGGGAAGTACACAAGCCATCCTAAATGTACTACTTGTTCAGAAAAGATTGATTTTCGTGAATGACTGAACAATTTTAAGAGTAATCACTGGAATGAAGAGGGGGTGGGTGGGTACTTTTGAAAATGATCTGTCTAATAAATATCGGGACGGCAGACTGATGGACCGATAGACAGACTATCTCTTCGTATTCTAGGGGTCATGAAAGGTCGAGAAAACGTGAAAGTAGAACAGTAAAAGCAAACACATTTTTACTTATCTATGTATGAAAGCGAGACTTCAACAAGAGGTCAGTTAGAATATGGTCCAAAATTGTTGGACATGCTCAACTAGAATTTTAAGTTGAGTCCAAGTCTGGACTTTTTCAAGTAAGAATATTTATTTTGAGTCGTGGTCACTACCTGAATGGTATGTTTTTGTGTTACTTTATCAATCATTGTATTTTCTAAGTCGATAATTTGTTAGTCTAAGTATAGGTTATTTTATAACTGTGAGGTAATAAAACCTGCACTTTTTGTTGTCTTTTTATGCAAACGGTTTTGAAAATTTTGCCCAAGTTGTTATCTACTTTTAATAAATTCTCATTTTGTTTCCATACTATTTTAAAACAAAAACCTTTCTAGGTAAGAGGCGTTTATTATCATAAACAAGTAAAATTACAACTCTTTTAATAAATGTACCGCTAGGGAGAGTTGTTGAAAATTAAGTACCAACTATTCAATCGAACTAAAAGCAACAACAAACCTTTTAAATTATAATTAAACTTAACTGAATTATTCTAACAACAACGGTTGTGGATTTTCCAAAAACTCGTTTTTATATCTTTCAAAGAGTCGTACCAGTTCATCGACGAACTTCTCATGTACCGAATCGATCTCTTCCATGGTCGGATTTTCTCTTTTTTCGACTTCTATAGGCGTACCCACTAAATCACAGTCAGGATTTTGCAAATTTACCCACACAAAACAACTTACAGACAGTCTTCAAGGGTCGTCTAAATGGTACCGTTCCGCACGAGTTCTCCGTGAACCCTCGTCCATAAAACAACGCAGGCACAAACCCAAACCTTTTCTTCACAAACTCCTGCACCCGTCGAATTTTCTCGTTTTGAACCTGTCGGAAAAGCGTATTTTCTCCGAATGTGATAACCGGTACTAACGTGGTACCGTGCCGTAACGCCATCTTGACGAACCCTTTTCGATTTTTAACGACAAATTTATATTGTTTGTTACCAGCGTTGAAGGTTTCTGAAGCACCTCCAGGGATTAAGAGTACGACTTGGCCACCTGGTTTGCTTAAAATGTAATTGAGTGATTTGACTGAACACGAAACGAAGCCTATAGCCAGTGATAATTCTCTCAAGAATGGGTTATAAAAGAACATGTGTAAAACTGCTACGCAAACCTTGAAATTGGGGTACAGGTGTCGAAATTCACTGTGATAGCCCAGTATGTTGTTGTAGGTACCCACGGGGATGATTCCATGAGGGAAGCATGCGAAGAGGTAGTTCCGTTTGGGGTTTAGTGTTAATTCTGGGTTGATTAGATGTGAGGGGAAATAGTCTTTGAGGTACAACCAGCATTTGAAGCTTCGGACCCAGTCGATGAGACGTCCTCCGGTTTCAGGGGTTTTGCGGTCGTAGTACCACCAGAAAGAGTAGAGTACTGCTAGCCACCAAAAGCGTGTTGTTAGTAGATAGAGGTAGAGGGTCCAGCCGATTGGTGTGGCAAAGGCCACGAGAAAAAAACAGAACGAGATCGACAATGTTTGGAGTTGTCGTTCTGAGAGTACTGGAAGTACACAAGGCATCTAAAAATAACAAGTTAATTTGATGTTTTTTCGAACGAAGTAGTACTTTTTAGGTGGAATTTAGTGTGTCACGAATCGGGCCTACTTTTTACACTGTTTATAACCGCACGTGTTGGTGGTTTATCTAGTTGATAAAACAGGTAAACATGTAAATAAATGACACCGGTCCTAAAAAAGGTCACTGAGTGAATGTTTATATGTATAAACACGTTATAAGTGATATTCGTAGTGTCAGTGCTTGGCAATTATCCCCACCACCCGCCTCGTGACTTCAAACTCCCCCTCCACCAGTCTCTCCACAATATCAAAATGATCTACACTTTCAATAACATCCACTTCCGCTTTAAATCCGGAACTCTCCAACTTCCGGCCGAACTCCCTCGATTGCTTGATAAACTCCGGACTTTCGTTCCGGCCGACAATCAAATAAAACGCCGTTCCGGCGCCATCCACGACGCTCTGTTTCATTGGACTCATTTCAGCCGCCACTTCTTCGTCCAATTTCAGAGATTCGTTAATTACAGTTTTTTGTAGAAGCGACAGATCGAACACTCCCGACATCAAGATCACTCCTTTAACAATAACCTGCTCCTCTTCAGAGATCGACTTGACGAAATTGGTGAAAAGGGAGGCTATAAGATGTGCTCCAGCGGAGTGGCCCATGAAATATACCTCCCTGGAAATTGACTGGTGAGTGGGTGGACTGGAAAGGTGGTGTTAAGTACTTGGATTTTGTTTGTTTGGCGTATTCGAGGCATTTTTTCGCTGCGACTTGGATTTGACGAACAATATCGGGGAGGGTGACGTGGGGGCACAGGTCGTAGCCTACGAAGAGGGTTTTTATGTTGTGAGGGTGGAGGGGCTCGGCGATGAAGTGGTAACTTGATCTGGTTATCTCGGCGGTTTGCCAGTAGCCACCGTGGAGGAAAATGAGAATGGGGGCACCTGGAAGAGGTGGGTTTGTAGTGGTCTAGGGGGGATTGGCTTACCTGGGGGCAGGTCTGTGCCGAAAATGTCGATTTTTTGTCGTTGGCTGGCTCCGTATGGAATATCGAGCTCGCAGGGGATTTTTTTAGACACTGATGCACTAGCTGGAAGGAATTTTATCCAGTTTGTGTGTAATGATGTTATTTATTTACCATTAGTGATGAATTTCATATGATGGTCAATTACTTCGGTCGGAGAGGATAATCTCTTTGCCCAGTAGCTCGGAGAATATAATATATCGAGTTTGTTCATTGTAGTGTGCTTGATTTAATGTTAGTGAGCACTGCGAACCTTCGGTAACTCTAGTCGGTCAATTTATGTACAACTACCTCGGGTTTATATTACCTCTGAAATCGAATAAATAGGAAACCGTACAAGAATATATTGATTATATTGTCGTCTTTCAACAAATAGACCGAAACTGTTATGCAACACATTTTGCCGATTAAAATTTATCTGTTTTGTTTATTGCAAATAATGATAAAGTGTAGTTATTTTTGCAATCTACATACACAATTTTCGTATTTTGTTCCATACTTTTGTAGAGTGGAAATTCTTCGAGAAGTGTGGTTTATGAGTGTAATTAATGTGTTCCATTTGTGGTAACGTAAATCCAGCATTTTTGAGCTGAGTTTTACTTTACAGAATTTTGTGATGACGTCATCAACATTTTTTCAAGGACACGTATATCAACTTGGATTGGTGCAGTGTATTACTAAAAATAACACTATTGTATTCCCAAATTTTTCTGATTTATTCAATAAAATAAATTGACACATTCATTAATTTTTTGAGTAACCCTGTATAAGCAAATCTAAAAAATATCAATGTAATGATAAATCACAAGTAAAAACTCATCATATTTCGGGTAGATTTAGAAATTTAACTCGTCACTATGGAAATTTGCAAATTAACAGCTTTAAAATTAAGTTTTTATAAGATTAATAGGGGCAAAATCAGTTTTATCTTAGCAAGTACTAGGCCCGCCCACCCGCCCTCTGTGTTTCAGAGGATATGTCATCTGCCAAAATCAGTCTTATCTTACTAAGTACTAGCCCCGCCCACCCGCCCTCTGTTTTGTCAGAGGATATGTGATTTGCCAAAATCAGTCTTATCTCAGCAAGTACTAGCCCCGCCCACCCGCGCCCGATTTTCTCAGACGGTAGTACTTGCTAGTAATTACTAAGATAGCCCTTATTTTGGCAAATGACATATCCTCTGAGAAAATAGAGGGCGGGTGGGCGGGGCTAGTACTTGCAAAGTTAAAACTTATTTTGGGAAATGAAATAAACTCTGAGAAAATAGGGGGCGGGTGGGCGGGGCTAGTACTTGCTAAAATAAGACTGATTTTGCCCGTATTAAACTTGTTAAATTTAAAGAGTGTTAAATTGCAAATTTACATAGTAAAGAGTTAAATACCTGAATCTGATTGGATATTTATTTTCTAATAACTCAGTCATTAATTTTTCTGAGACACTTTGTATAAGCAAATTTAAAAAATATTAATTATATATTTAAAATAAATCACAAGTAAAAACTCATCATATTTTGCACATTTCGGGTAGATTTACTAATTTAACTCGTTAGTATGGAAATTTACAATTAAATACCTTTAAAAAAAGTTTTTTCAAGATTAATAGGGGCAAAATCAGTTTTATCTAAACAAATACTAGGCCCGCCCACCCGCCCACTATTTTCCCTGGGGATATGTCATTTGCCAAACTCAGACTTTTCTTACCAAATACTAGCCCGTTTCTGTTTTCTCAGAGAATATGTCATTTGCCAAAATCAGTCTTATCTTACCAAGTAGTAGCCCCGCCCACCCGCCCCCTCTTTTCTGAGAAGATATGTCATTTGCCAAATTAAGACTTATGTTAGCAAGTACTAGCCCCGCCTTCCCGCCCTTTATTTTCTCAGAGGGTAGTACTTGCTAGTCCTTGCTAAGATAAGTCTTATTTTGGCAGATGACATATCCTCTCAGAAAATAGGGGCGGGTGGGCGGGGCTAGTACTTGCTCAGAAAAGACTGATTTTGGCAGACGCCATACCCTCTGAGAAAATAGAGGGCGGGTGGGCGGGGCTAGTACTTGCAAAGTTAAAACTTATTTTGGCAAATGAAATAAACTCTGAGAAAATAGGGGGCGGGTGGGCGGGGTCAGTACTTGCTAAGATAAGACTGATTTTGCCCGTATTAAACTTGTTAAATTTAAAGGGTGTTAAATTGCATATTTACATAGTAAAGAGTTAAATATCTGAATCTGATCGGATTTTTATTTTTTAATGACTCAGTCATTAATTTTTCTGAGACACCTTGTATAAGCAAATTTAAAAAATATTAATTATATATTTAAAATAAATCACAAGTAAAAACTCATATTTTGCACATTTCGGGTAGATTTAGTAATTTAACTCGTTAGTATGGAAATTTACAATTAAACACCTTTAAAAAAAAAGTTTTTTTTCTCAGAGAATATGTCATTTGCCAAAATCAGTCTCATCTTACCAAGTAGTAGCCCCGCCCACCCGCCCCCTCTTTTCTGAGAAGATATGTCATTTGCCAAATTAAGACTTATGTTAGCAAGTACTAGCCCCGCCCCCCGCCCTTTATTTTCTCAGAGGGTAGTACTTGCTAGTCCTTGCTAAGATAAGTCTTATTTTGACAGATGACATGTCCTCTCAGAAAATAGGGGCGGGTGGGCGGGGCTAGTACTTGCTCAGATAAGACTGATTTTTGCAGACGCCATACCCTCTGAGAAAATAGAGGGCGGGTGGGTGGGGCTAGTATTTGCAAAGGTAAAACTTATTTTTGAAAATGACATAAACTTTGAGAAAATGGGGGGGGGGTGGGCGGGTCGAGTATTTGTCAAAATAAAACTGACTTTGCCCCTTTTAAACTTGTAAAAAATATATTAATTATATATTAAAAATAAATCACAAGCATAGATTCATCATATTTTGCACACTGAAGATATATTCAGCAATATTTTGAGATGACGTCATCAATTTTTAGGGGGATGAGCAAATACATTTGGATTACAAATTTGCCAAGATTCTTTCATCTTTCGTCAAAAAATAGACACTACAATCTCCAAGATTATTTCGATCTTTTTAAAAAAACACCTGGGGGCTCTAAGATCTTTTCAAAATCTTTGAAACTTAAAAAACGGATTAATCTCAAGATTCTTCTACGTTTTTTACAATAAAGACACAAGGGTATGTCAAGATATTTTCAAATTTTTTAAAAACAAAAAAGGAGCCCAAAGACTTTTTTCAAATTAAATTTCAAGAACCTCCAAAACTCTTCTATGTTGTTTAAGAAAAGACACTCGGGCTCGTCAAGATTCTTTCAGATTCGTTAAAAAGACACAGAAGCTCGCAAGATCTTTTCAGATTTTTTCAAAAATGAAACTTCCGAAATTCCCAAGACCCTTCTGCATTGTTAAAAAAAAACATTCGGGTTTCCCAAGATTCCTTCACTCTTCGTCAAAAAATAAACATTTTAAGGGCCAACATTTTTTCAATCTGCTAAAAAAAATACCAAGGGCCCCCAAAATATTTTCAAAATCTTTCAAACAAAACACCGGGGACTCCCAAGATTTTTCTACATTCTTTACAATAAAGACACAAGAAACCCTCGAGATGGTTTCAAATTTTTCAAAAACAAAAGAGAAAGAACCCAAAGACTTTTCCTCAACTTTTTCCAAAAATAAAAAATTTAGGCATCTACAAGATTCTTTCAGTTGTATTAAAGAAAAAGTCACTAGAGGCTCTCAAGATCTTTTCAAACATTTTCAAAGATGAAACACCAGAAATCCCAAGATTCTTCTACGTTTAAAAAAAAACACTTTCGGATTTACCAAGATTCCTTCGCTCTTCGTCAAAAAATAGACACTACAAGAACCAAAATTCTTTCAATCTGTTAAAAAAATACCAAGAGCTCCCAAAATCTTTTCAAAATCTTTCAAACATAAAGCACCGGGGACTCCCAAGATTCTTCTACATTCTTTACAATAAAGACACAAGAAACCCTCAAGATTGTTTCAAATTTTTCAAAAACAAAAGAGAAGGAGCCCAAAGACTTTTCCTCAAATTTTTCCAAAAATAAAAATTTAGGCATCTACAAGATTCTTTCAGATGTATTAAAGAAAAAGTCACTAGAGGCTCTCAAGATCTTTTCAAACATTTTCAAAGATAAAACACCAGAAATCCCCAAGATTCCTCTATGTTTAAAAAAAAACACTTTCGGGTTTACCAAGATTTCTTTACTCTTCGTCAAAAAATAGGCACTACAAGGACCAAAATTCTTTCAATCTGTTAAAAAAATACCAAGGGCCCCCAAAATCTTTTCAAAATCTTTCAAACATAAAGCACCGGGGACTCCCAAGATTCTTCTACATTCTTTACAATAAAGACACAAGAAACCCTCAAGATTGTTTCAAATTTTTCAAAAACAAAAGAGAAGGAGCCCAAAGACTTTTCCTCAAATTTTTCCAAAAATAAAAATTTAGGCATCTACAAGATTCTTTCAGTTGTATTAAAGAAAAAGTCACTAGAGGCTCTCAAGATCTTTTCAAACATTTTCAAAGATAAAACACCAGAAATCCCCAAGATTCCTCTATGTTTAAAAAAAAAAACACTTTCGGGTTTACCAAGATTTCTTCACTCTTCGTCAAAAAATAGGCACTACAAGGACCAAAATTCTTTCAATCTGTTAAAAAAATACCAAGAGCCCCCAAAATATTTTCAAAATCTTTCAAACAAAACACCGGAGACTCCCAAGATTCTTCTACGTTCTTTATAATAAAGACACAAGAAAACCTCAAGATTGTTTCAAATTTTTCAAAGACAAAAGAGAAGGAGCCCAAAGACTTTTCCTCAATTTTTTCCAAAAATAAAAATTTAGGCATCTACAAGATTCTTTCAATTGTATTAAAGAAAAAGTCACTAGAGGCTCTCAAGATCTTTTCAAACATTTTCAAAGATAAAACACCAGAAATCCCCAAGATTCTTCTACGTTTAAAAAAAAAACACTTTCGGGTTTACCAAGATTCCTTCACTCTTCGTCAAAAAATAGGCACTACAAGGACCAAAATTCTTTCAATCTGTTAAAAAAATACCAAGAGCCCCCAAAATATTTTCAAAATCTTTCAAACAAAACACCGGGGACTTCCAAGATTCTTCTACGTTCTTTATAATAAAGACACAAGAAACTCTCAAGATTGTTTCAAATTTGTCAAAAACAAAAGAGACGGAGCCCAGAGACTTTTCCTCAAATTTTTCCAAAAATAAAAATTTAGGCATCTACAAGATTCTTTCAGTTGTATTAAAGAAAAAGTCACTAGAGGCTCACAAGATCTTTTCAAACATTTTCAAAAATAAAACACCAGAAATCCCCAAGATTCTTCTACGAAAAAAAAAACACTTTCGGGTTTACCAAGATTCCTTCACTCTTCGTCAAAAAATAGGCACCACAAGGACCAAAATTCTTTCATTCTGTTAAAAAAATACCAAGGGCCCCCAAAATATTTTCAAAATCGTTCAAACAAAACACCGGGGACTCCCAAGGTTTTTCTACGTTCTTTATAATAAAGACGCCAGAAACCCTCAAGACAGTTTCAAATTTTTCAAAAACAAAAGAGAAGGAGCCCAAAGACTTTTCCTCAATTTTTTCCAAAAATAAAAATTTAGGCATCTACAAGATTCTTTCAGTTAGATTGAAGAAAAAGTCACTAGAGGCTCTCAAGATCTTTTCAAACATTTTCAAAGATAAAACACCAGAAATCCCCAAGATTCTTCTACGTTGTTTAAAAAAAGGTCCATCGCATTTCAATTATGATGATTTTTTTATTCTTAGAAACTTAAAACACGCCCCTACGTCTGCCAACGAATGAAAACTTCATTACTATTTAGGTCAGGGCAGGAATGGGTTGGGATTAATCCTTAGGTTTATTTTTTTTTTAAATATATACAGTATTTTTTGAATATCAGGATAGTCAAAAACATGTCTTATATGGCAATTTCTTGTAGAGCTATAATAAGGATTTTTCTATTAAATTCCGCTCCTTTGGCTCTCGACGATTAAAGAAAAAATCATCACAATTGAGACAGGGTGGGTGGGCGGGGCTTATATTTTGTTTTTTTGTCTTAATATACATAGCTTTCTTTTCATAACAAGAAACTTAAAACAGGTTTAAAATGGTAAATTCTTGTAGACAAATATGGATGTTGCAATTAAACCCCGCCCCTCGATCTGACAATGAAAGAAAAAAAAATTCAATACGCGAATACCGAGTATAGAGTTTAATATGCGACAGGTTTTTTGGGCTAGAAATGTGGACGTTTATCGTAGTGGCTAAATGATTTTGAGGTCGTCTTATCAACGTTTTTAGTATCCAGGTGGGGAATTTGTTAGTCTAATAAGTAGGTAATAAAAAGCGCAATCTTGGTTGACTTTTTATTCACATTGACTTGAAAATTTTAAAGAATATACGTACAGTGGTATCACAGAATAAATCCAATTTGCAAACAGATTTGTACTGACCAACAAGCCAATAAAAAACTCCGATTGAAAAACACGTAGATCAAAAACGTCACACAAAGCTGGCGCAAATTGGATAAAACACAATGAATAAGAAAGGCATAAGTTCAAATAAAAGAGATGGCCGAGAATGTCGATTGAACGTAACAAGGAATATGATGTAGATAGTTTGAAATATTCCAGAAAACCCGTTTTTCCGAACTCATCGCCTTCCTCCGTCCGAGGTGCAGTCAGAACGATAACTGATACAGATAGTTGAGACATTACACTGATATGATACAGAGTGTTTCCAAGCGTACACAGGGATGCAGTTTATACCAAAATAGATTCGTCTATACAAGGACAATGCTGTGGATTTGTGTGTGATTACGTAGTAGAACACTGAAAGTCATCTAGTAGATTCGTCCAGAATGGGTTTGCTAGTATAATCGGAACACTCTGTAGACACATGACCCTATGAATGAACGAATATGTACAGGAGCACACGCTGAGGCCAAAAAAGAGTCCACGAAATGTACAACTTCAGAAATTCTCAAACTATGAATATAAAGTGACCCTGTGTAGCCCACGGTTTGAACATCATTTTCTTTTTTAGCCAGTCAGTATGCGAATTCGCGACCATCTCTAGAAAGATTTTTAGATGATTTGTGTATAAATATCATTTAGTAGTGTTTTGCTTTGGGAGGAATCGGAGAACTCGTGGCACTCCTGGACACACGTGGTGCATCTGGAACCGACAGTTTGGATTCGGTGGATTTCCAGGTCGATGGTGATTCCGTCGATGACGAACTCTTGTTCGAATTCGAGCTCTTACTCAAACTGGTAATAGGGATGCGGTAGATCCTCAGAGGACGAACTTCCGGGGAAACTGTAAGAAAAAGAAATTTAAATGGAAATGGAAAGAGCCTTTTATGAATGGTTCTTTGTCTCTTTGTGCGGGTGGAATAAAAAGGGACAATTACCATTTTTACTTCCCGGACGACAGCTAAGAGGAGGTCATTTTCGCGAATTCATGATTTCTCGGTCACAGCGCGCAGAATACGAAACTACACCTACTCTTGTTTCGAAAAAGCATCGATGAGCTTATTCGCATTTATGCTTTCAGATACACTTCGCATCGAAGAATGAAATTTTGTTTTAAATTCGTTAAGTTCTGGAAATCTCATTAAACCCTTAATTTAATTTGTAGGAATTGGAAGTTCGTTAGGAAAAAATCAAGTCTGCGAGGCTTAATTAAACATCCAGAATGTTTTTAAGCACGCGATTTTTTTAAACTGCACGTATTTTCCAGTTACTTAAATTTAAAAAGTTTGGTTGTGGCTTTTTCTGGTACTTATGTCATCATTTATATCTTTAACATGTAGGTATTGGTAAAGCCATGACTTTTTGTACTATCTAGAGTCAATCTTAGAAGGCTAGGACAACAATGTAATATAGGTTACTGTGTGACGTCACACCAATGTTTATCAAAAATTAATCAATAAAGTTAACCCATTATTATTATTTTTAAACAATTTGACTTTTCTAAAAATGTTATTCAAAATTATTCATCGGTTTAAAAGTTATCGTAATCAATTTTTCGATTTTTTGATTTTTCGATTTTTCGATTTTCCGATTTCTCAATTGAAATGTCTTCGTTTCTCAATTTTTCGTTTTCTCAGGTTTAAGATTTTTCAATTTTGGGGTTTGTCAATGCTTCGATTTTTCCACTTTCCGAATTTTTGACTTTGTAGTGTTTAAATTTTTAAAACATTTTCGATTTTTTGTAATTTAGATTTGTCGATTTTTTAACTTATTGATTTTTCGATTTTTTTGGTTTCTCTATTTTTCAATTTTACGATTCTCCAATTTTCCGATATTTGGAATTTTCGATTTTTTGAATTTGTATTTTTCGATTTCTCAAGTTTTCGGTTTTTCGACATTTCGGATTTTTGATTTTTTACTGTTCAGATTTTTCAAAATTTTTCGATTTTTTAGTTTTTGGATTTCTCGATGTTTTGGTTTTACGATTCTTCGTTATTGTAATTTTTCAATTTTTTGAATTCCATTGTTCTGTTTTCCAAATTTTCGAATTTTTAAATTTTAGATATTCTACTTTCTTTTCTCGATCTTTCCGTATTTCGACTCCTCACTTTTAGATATTTCGGTTTTCAATGATTCGATTTTTAGAATTTTTCAGTTTTCAGTTTTCCGATTTATTTTGAAATTTTGAATTTTTCGATTTTACGCTATTTCTATTTCTCAGTTTGTCGATTGTTTGATGTTCTGATTTTCCGATATTAAAATTTTTAGTAAGTATTTTAGTTTTTCGATGTCTCAGTTTTCGTTTTCTCAAGTTTTCAAGGTTTCAATTTTAAGATTTTTCAATTTTGGGAATTTTCAATATGTACTTCGATTTTTCGATTTTCGAATTTTGGATATTTTATTTTTTAGAGTTTTCAAAATTTTACGATTTTTTACCCATTTGATTTTTTGATTTGGTTTCTCGATTCTTCAATTTCACGATTTTTCGATTTTTTAAATTTTAGATATTACGATTTCTCGATTTTTCAGTGCTTTGATTTTTGTATTTTTCAATTTTTGTAATTTTTAAATTTTTGGTTTTTTCCTTTTTTCTTTCATCTTTTCTTCTGTTTTTTAATAATTTTTTTTCTGTTTTTTAGAATTTTTCCATTTTGGGCTATTTCTATTTCTTAGTTTTCCGTTTTGATGTTTCTATTTCTCGAAGTTTTAATTTTTCGTTTCTGACTTTTCGATTTCTCGGTTTTGCGATTTTTCGACTTTTCATTTTTCCATTTTCCAATTTTCCGACAATCCAGTTTTGAAATTTCTCAATTTTTCCGTGTTCCGATTTTACAATTTTTGATGTTTCGATTTCTCGATATTTAAATTTTTTAATATGTATTTCAGTTTTTTGATTTTTTAAATTTTCGATTTGTCGACATCTCGGTTTTTCGATTTTTAAAATTATTCGAGTTTTCGTTTTTTCGATTTCTCTCTCAATTTTTCAACTTTTCGATGCCCGAATTTTCAATTTTGGGATTTTTCAAGAGTGCGATTTTTCGACTTTTCTAAATTTTCGAATTTTTGATTTTTTACTGTTTAGATTTTTCAAATTTTCTAGATTTTTTATAACACAGATTTTGCAAATTTTTAAATTATCGCATTTTTGATGTTTTCGTTTTTCGATTTTTCGATTTCTCTGGTTCAAGATTTCAATTCTTCAATTTATTAATTTTGGGATTTTTTTAAATTTTTGGGTTCAACAATTTTACGATATTTTCATTTTTTGCTTTTTTAAATTTTAGTTTTATGATTTTTTGATGTTTCGATTGCTCGAGCTTTCGATTTTTCGACTTTTCAGATTTCGATTTTCCGGTTTTAAAGCTTTTCGATTTCTCAATTTCTTGACAAACGATTTTTTTGTTTTTTCATTTATCGATTTTTCGAGTTTCCGATTTTTTAAATTGTCCGATTTCTTAATTTTTCGTTTTCTCAAGTTTTCGATGTTTGTATTTTTATTCTTTAGATTTTTCAAAATTTTACGATTTTATATAATTTAGATTTTTTCGATATTTTAATTTTTGGATTTTTTAAATTTTAGGTTTTTTCCTTTTTTCTTTCATCTTTCGATATTCGAATTCTCCCTTTTAAGTTTTTTCTGTTTTTTTTAGAATTTTTTGGTTTTTCAGTTTTCCGATTTATCATTTTTTTAAGTTTAAATGTTTTAATTTTGAATTTTTCCATTTTGGGCTATTTCTATTTCTTAGTTTTCCGTTTTGATGTTTCTATTTCTCGAAGTTTTAATTTTTCGTTTCTGACTTTTCGATTTCTCGGTTTTGCGATTTTTCGACTTTTCATTTTTCCATTTTCCAATTTTCCGACAATCCAGTTTTGAAATTTCTCAATTTTTCCGTGTTCCGATTTTACAATTTTTGATGTTTCGATTTCTCGATATTTAAATTTTTTAATATGTATTTCAGTTTTTTGATTTTTTGAATTTTCGATTTGTCGACATCTCGGTTTTTCGATTTTTAAAATTATTCGAGTTTTCGTTTTTTCGATTTCTCTCTCAATTTTTCAACTTTTCGATGTCCGAATTTTCAATTTTGGGATTTTTCAAGAGTGCGATTTTTCGACTTTTCTAAATTTTCGAATTTTTGATTTTTTACTGTTTAGATTTTTCAAATTTTCTAGATTTTTTATAACACAGATTTTGCAATTTTTTAAATTATCGCATTTTTGATGTTTTCGTTTTTCGATTTTTCGATTTCTCTGGTTCAAGATTTCAATTCTTCAATTTATTAATTTTGGGATTTTTTTAAATTTTTGGGTTCAACAATTTTACGATATTTTCATTTTTTGCTTTTTTAAATTTTAGTTTTATGATTTTTTGATGTTTCGATTGCTCGAGCTTTCGATTTTTCGACTTTTCAGATTTCGATTTTCCGGTTTTAAAGCTTTTCGATTTCTCAATTTCTTGATAAACGATTTTTTTGTTTTTTCATTTATCGATTTTTCGAGTTTCCGATTTTTTAAATTGTCCGATTTCTTAATTTTTCGTTTTCTCAAGTTTTCGATGTTTCTATTTTTATTCTTTAGATTTTTCAAAATTTACGATTTTATATAATTTAGATTTTTTCGATATTTTAATTTTTGGATTTTTTAAATTTTAGGTTTTTTCCTTTTTTCTTTCGTCTTTCGATATTCGAATTCTCCCTTTTAAGTTTTTTCTGTTTTTTTAGAATTTTTTGGTTTTTCAGTTTTCCGATTTATCATTTTTTTAAGTTTAAATGTTTTAATTTTGAATTTTTCCGTTTTGGGCTATTTCTATTTCTTAGTTTTCCGTTTTGATGTTTCTATTTCTCGAAGTTTTAATTTTTCGTTTCTGACTTTTCGATTTCTCGGTTTTGCGATTTTTCGACTTTTCATTTTTCCATTTTCCAATTTTCCGACAATCCAGTTTTGAAATTTCTCAATTTTTCCGTGTTCCGATTTTACAATTTTTGATGTTTCGATTTCTCGATATTTAAATTTTTTAATATGTATTTCAGTTTTTTGATTTTTTGAATTTTCGATTTGTCGACATCTCGGTTTTTCGATTTTTAAAATTATTCGAGTTTTCGTTTTTTCGATTTCTCTCTCAATTTTTCAACTTTTCGATGCCCGAATTTTCAATTTTGGGATTTTTCAAGAGTGCGATTTTTCGACTTTTCTAAATTTTCGAATTTTTGATTTTTTACTGTTTAGATTTTTCAAATTTTCTAGATTTTTTATAATACAGATTTTGCAATTTTTTAAAATATCGCATTTTTGATGTTTTCGTTTTTCGATTTTTCGATTTCTCTGGTTCAAGATTTCAATTCTTCAATTTATTAATTTTGGGATTTTTTTAAATTTTTGGGTTCAACAATTTTACGATATTTTCATTTTTTGCTTTTTTAAATTTTAGTTTTATGATTTTTTGATGTTTCGATTGCTCGAGCTTTCGATTTTTCGACTTTTCAGATTTCGATTTTCCGGTTTTAAAACTTTTCGATTTCTCAATTTCTTGATAAACGATTTTTTTGTTTTTTCATTTATCGATTTTTCGAGTTTCCGATTTTTTAAATTGTCCGATTTCTTAATTTTTCGTTTTCTCAAGTTTTCGATGTTTCTATTTTTATTCTTTAGATTTTTCAAAATTTTACGATTTTATATAATTTAGATTTTTTCGATATTTTAATTTTTGGATTTTTTAAATTTTAGGTTTTTTCCTTTTTTCTTTCATCTTTCGATATTCGAATTCTCCCTTTTAAGTTTTTTCTGTTTTTTTAGAATTTTTTGGTTTTTCAGTTTTCCGATTTATCATTTTTTTAAGTTTAAATG